CATCTGGTTTTGTTGCCCGCAGAGCTTTCAAGATTCCCTGTTGCGCCAACAGATCTTTCACCCTGCTTTGCCACAATCCGAAGTTACCAGTTCCGTCGAACTTCACCACCTCGAATTTCGCACCAGAAAATGCCATCTGAAAATTATTCCTGCAACAAAACTTTCTGCAAAAAATTCCTCTGCAAAAATCCTTACTCATACCATAACAGTATGTAAGTGCAAATATCAAACTTCGGGTGTTAGTTATGTAAATACATGAGATTGTGTGGTATTTATGTTAATTTCCCTCCTTTTTTTTTGTTGATTAAGGGTCCGTTTGGGGCAGCTTTTACGTTTCAGGATAACGCGGCCCGCGGGCGGCCGCAGGGGTTCAACCCACGGCCTGCATTTAGTGTGAAAACCCAAACGCAGTTTCAGATAAGCTGGCGAAACGTGCGAACCAAACGGTCCGACGGCGTTTTGAAAACGCCGCCCGCACTTATAAGCTACCCCAAACGGACCCTAAGCTGATAGAACAACATTTCAGGTGATGAAGGAGTCGAAGGGCAAGGCAAATCCAGCGCTTCTGAACAAGATTCTTTCAGAAAAATTGAATGCCAAGAGTTTATGAAGAAAAATGTGCATTTTTTATAATATTTGGCTTTTATTTATTTATATATTTATTGAAGCTTTGAGAGGGTTCATGATTCAGAAATGCAGATAACAAGCCTAGAGATGTGTCTCAGGATGCGATGGATGTATTTATAAAGGTGCTTTTGATAATTACTGTAAATTATTTTTCAGAATTTTATTTAATAATGGGTCATTTTGCATATCCAACACTTGAACTTTATGTTTTTACATTTATATCATCTGAATCTTTCATATCATATAAATGTCGCGCATGGTGTATGTGTTATATTAATTCTGTTTTGTTGATTAGAGGAAAGAAATAATGACCTAGTTTATAAAGCTCTTACAAATGCAAATTTTGGAGCTTACATTAATATAATGAAAGCTTTTTATAAATTCAACTCACTTTTATGTATTTACATATGTAATGCCTAAATGTCATTTTTTTACATACATATCTATGCTTTAAAAGTATTACTTTGCACATAACACTCAATTTCTATGCATTAACATGTCTAAACACCATATATATATATATATATATATATATATACACATACATACATGCACGCACATATTTTCTATGCATGAAAGTGTAATTCACTTTCTGTAAGTATAAAAAATGGCATTTTTGGTGACAAGAAAGATTTGAGTGGTACAAATGTAAAAAAGGTTAAAGCTTATGTATTAGATATGTAAAATACATTGGTATTGGGCTGTAGGTACGTAAATGCCCCAAATTCAAATGGTGATATATTTTTTTTACATCATGTCAAAAATTTGGTAGGTATAAATGTAAAAGGTGCAATTTAGGTGTGATATGTAAATACATTAGAATTGGGGGTACAGTCTTAAAAGTTAAATAAATAAATAAATACTCAGGAGCACAAATAATCAGCCAATCTAACCATAATGTTGTATGTCACAACTGCATAACAAATTAAAAATAACAACAATAAAGTTGATTAAAACACTAAAAAGACCCCAAAAATTGTTCAAAATTGCAAATGCTTCTAACATTGAAATAGTTTTATAAAAAAGGCTGGGGGAATGAAAATTTAGAAGGTTTAGGACATTCAGTAGCCACCCTTGAGGTCATTAACAACATCATAAGGAATAGGTGTCACTGTTTCTAATGTGGCTCCCTCAACCATGAAACCAGGTTTAGGCCCCTCGGGTTGCCTCTTCGTGCTGATAATCTCGCCACGAGATTTGGCCTCTGCCTTGAGCTCGTCATTTTTCTTCTTTCTAAGACGAAAATCTTCAGCACACCTTGAAGGCTGCACGTGCTCGACACGAACATGGATGCGCTTCTTGATGATCCTGTTGCCGACCTGATCATAGAAAGTCGAACGAATTATTGATCCCATGAGCTTATTTAGATAATTCATGAGTATTTTAATGATTTGATGTTACTGAAATTTTAGGGGCATTTACAAGTGATACGAGACAATAAGATTTTAACAATAAAAAGAAAAATAATCACGAGGCTTGACACAGTCGAAATAATCTATTATATATTTGAAATTGTGACTTCTCCATACCTAAAGAAGTTGGGATTACGAGATTATAAATATTTGCTTGTTAGTAATAATAGTTTGACAATCAAAACTTCAGATATAATAACTAGATAATATCAGTCATAATTGGGCTACAATAAATGATGATAATGTTAGACAATTGCTGATGATCAATACTTTCAAGTTCTTTTTACGAGCTCTAACTTAGTTCACAACTCTCTCTCATTCCCTCATTCTATAAATGGAACTTAATTTATAGATTTAAAGAAGAGATTTTAATAAAATCATCCAAAATCTTAAAATATTCCATCCGACAGCGATTCTTGCTGATTTTTTTTTTTATCAAAGATAGCTCTTTTAGCATTTATGTGCCATAATGCCCTTAAAATTGAATGATCTTAAGATTGTTATATACTACTAATTCAATCATTTAATTTAACTACAACCATGCCAAATTCCACCATCATTTAGACCTTCAATTAATACTTCAAAGATTATAATTATACTGAGCGTTTCATTTTGGACTCATTTGCATTCAATAAGATTACCTTTGATGTCACTAGGTTTATCTTGTTAAGGTATTTAATTTGACTATAAATTTGCTTAAATTAAAGCTCATATGAACTTGAATTTGAATATGAAATTTATTTCATTCAAGAAGAATTAAAATTTGTTCATGATCAAGTAAAGTATAAATATTTATATCGAACCTCATCCCTTCACACTCTTCACTAACATTTCATCATGCATCATAACCATTAGCATCATATTTGCATAGTCAACTAAAGTTTGCTTCACATATTTGAGTGGTGATTAAATTAATGAATATTCAAATGCGTGTGCCAAGTAACCTTTATACTGGTGCTCTAACTTACTTTACACTCTTAGTCATAGCATTATAGACATATCCATCATCATTATTCATTACATATATAATGAAAACACATTGCAACTTTATAGTTAGTATAACTGACTAGATCCACTACATTGGTGCTTACTAAATTACATCATTCACACAAGCTTCATCTTAACATACATAACATTATATTGTTAATAAAAATGTTTCGTTTAACATTACATTTATGCTCTATTGTGCATGTTAAATAGTTATTTACCTTATTCCGTTGTATAGTATATCTCTTCTGCTAAAATTCAAAAAAAGTGCACATCTAACTCTTTACTTTATTATGCGTGCCTTAAACTAACAAAAAGCAATCAAAGTTTTAGTTAATTTATATCAATCTAAATCTAACAAAGATCAGGATGAGTATTAAATCATCGGCCAAAATAGACAATCTGCACAGTTTAGGCGGAATTCACTTTTTATGCGTGCAAACTTCAAACTTTATAAACCAAGGGTAAAAAAAATTGTGGCATTTACATACATTCCATACAATTGTTATATTCTTTTTCAAATCTAATGGCTAAATTTTGTTTTTTTTAACATTTATACCACACAAATGTTTCATATCATATCAAAAAAATCGCTATTTTAGCTTAAAAAAGAGAAATATACCTTTTCATGCATAATTAAGGTGGCATATATATAAAAATTCAAGTGTGGGTATGCATTAGAATTGTGTGGCATGCATGTAAATCTTCCAAAAATTAACATGAAAAGAGGAACAAATGCTAGAATTATGCAAAATATGCTAGCTATGTAGCTGGAATGCTTAAATGCGAACAAGCAGGCAAGTTTGGAAAGGCAATAATTAAAAATGAAATCGTGAGCCACGTTATAATTCTGAACAAGGATACTGAAGAAGAAAATCAATAAATGAAACTAGGCAGCATTAGAGATTCTCAAAACTGCAGAAAAAAATGAAACAAAAGTGGATATGGATAGCCGCAATCAAAGAAATATATCAGTATTGGCAGATTTCTCACATCTATCAATTATAATGTAACAATACTTCTGAAATTTTAAACAAAATAATACAAAAATAATTTGCAGGTAATTCGTTCACGCATAATAATTCATTCATCTGTGGAAAAACTAACATAAGGAACTAATCCCATCGAGCAAGCATGCAGCAAAATCGAAAACAAAGCAAAGCAGCGTAACCACGGAGCTATGTTCAGAAAGATAACGACAAATAATATGAAAAATATAAGATCTAGAAGATTGAGACACATTAAACATTATTTAAATCTAAAAAAACCCTGGAAGCAGATCAATCATAGGTATACAAAGAAGGCGATCACCTGTTTGTTGATTTCGACTCCAATAGCCCTCTTGGTTACGTTCCACACTTTCCCAGTCCTTCCATGGTAGAACTTATGAGGCATCCCTTTGTGTATGGCGGCATTAACCTTGACATCAACGTAGTCTCCGATCTTGTAGGTTCGAAGATACGTTGTCAGAGGAATATAGCCCTTCTTCCTGAAGGGCCTCGCAAAAAGATCGCGAGTTCGCGAACGAAGACCGTGCCCCGCCGGCATCTTTCACCGCCGCCAATCCTCTGCAGCGATCTGTGACAAAAGAGGCGGAATGAATGATTGCAGCGTCTAGGGTTTGGATTCTTAAATATATTAACGGGCATGGTACAAAAAGTCGAAAAAGCCGGCAGATGCATCTCTAATTACAGTTAAGGGAACAAGGCCCATTGCCTTCTTGGGCCTGCCGCGTAATTCAGCCGCTGGTTAGTGAGTTTGTTTGGTTCTTGTGAGTTGAGCTTGACTCTTGATCCGGCTCCATTAAAAAAATATTAATATAAAAGAGTTAAATCTCAAAATATCCTAAGAGTCGTGCCTAAGGGATATAGCATTGGAACTTGGACGGATGAGAGGAATAGAAAAAAAAAATAGAATTAGAAGCAAGTGCACTATAACAGTGGGTTTTTGTTTTTTTTTAATAGATTCAGTAGTTCATTCTTAAAAAAATGATCCCCTCATTTATAGATTATAGTGATTGTCCATCTAGTGTAGCTCCTGGCATTGATCCTTGCGGCTTACCACACCCTATGTGACACACTACTCGTGCAGCTCCCAACTGCGACACTTGAGTAAAGGACATATAATCATGGAATATATAACGTACATAAAGCCAAAAGATTTTCATGAACATGCAAAAGGAAAATTCAATCATGAAAGAAATGCATCCAAGTATGCAAAATCGGTCAACCGGGTCATGTAGATCAGTCAAACAAAAGTTGTGAGTCGATCGATATGAGATGATGGATCAGACCCAACATATGGGTAGTCGGCCCGGGACTGTCTATCTGCCAAAAATGGGTGATCGATGTGGGGCTGTTGATCGAATCCCAAATATTGCACAGTTAGGTTGGGATGGCCGATCCAACCCGAAAAAATAGGTTGATCGAGCTAGGACTGTTGATCAAGTCTAAAGTAGATGATCGAACCAATGTGGTTGATTAAACCTAAAGGATTGGGCGATCGGGTTGGCGTGGACAATTGAACGCGGAAAGTAGTCGATTGAGCCGAAATGATCAGATTGGACCCAAAGTGACTGATTGAACCAGTGTGGTCTATCAAACTCAAAAAATCGGGCGATCAAGCCTGGGTGGCCAATCAGACCCAGAAAATAGGTCGATTGAGCCATGGTAGTTGATCAGACCTAAAGTGGGCGATCAAACCAGTGCTATTGATCAAACCCAAGAGATTGGGTGATCGGGTCGGGGCGGTCGATCGAGCCCTGAAAATAGGTTGATCGAGCTGGGACAACCGTTCAGACCCAAACTAGGTGATCGAACAAGTATGATCGATCAAACCCAAAAATCATGCGATCGAATCGGGGCGACCGATCGAGTATGGGAAATAGGTTGATTGAGCCGGGACGACCAATCAGACCCCAAGTGGGTGATCGAACCAGTGCAGGCGATCAAACTCAAAAGATCGGTTGATCGGGTCGGGGCGATAGATTTGACCCAAGGTAATCAGTCGATCACTAGTATGACCGATCGAACTAAAGTGATCACGTGGACAAGAAAACAAAAATGTAGAAATATCAATAGATGGTCATGCACATACAATACAACCCAAAGACACTCAACGTCACCTCAAACTCGTCTTGACAACCTCGTGTAGGTTCTAGAGTTGAATTGATGACAAGCGTTGTCAATGTTGTATTACGTGAAGCAATGCGAAGTTGATGTTCATTCACTCAAAATGGAGTGAAAAGTTGACTCTTGAGGGCAACTCTTCGCGATTGAGCGAAACCAAAGGGGTGCCACCATCCGCTTGATCCTTCGATCTCACTTGTCCATCCAAGTGAAACCTCTGAAACAAACGAAGAGGTCCCACAAAACCTCCTCTTTTGTAGGATTTTGGTGCTAGGGCTTAAGGGGAACACTCAAAAGTCTTAGAGGGATGTCCTCAAATGGCTTCGTAGCCTAAAGGCTTTCTCTAAGCACAACAAAACATAATCCTTAATGCTCTGCACTTCCCGACCAAAGGGGTCTAGGAAAGGAAAATATGAAAGTAGAGAGGATTATACCGTCGCGGTGATTGTTCGGCATTCGACATTGTCCGAAAATAAGCTCTCCAAATGGTAGGAGAGACTGAAAAAGTTTTCAAGCTTTGGTATAGGCACTTCTTCAGAGAACGATAAAGCTCTCCTTGTGAGGAGATTCCAATGACGTCATGAACTTCAACGAATGTTCTTCTCCCAAAAAGGATGAAACTCCCTTCAAGAAGAAGATTCCGGCAATGCTCTGAGCAAGAAAGCTTCTCTTCTCTATGTTATTTTTTTCAGTGAAATGGCGGCCGAAAAAGAAGAAGATGCAAAAGAGGTGGAGAAAATGATGGAGAATGAGAAGAAGAAGAAGAATAATGGAACGATAACTTACTAAATCCTCAAACTTTTCTCCAATAACTCTCCTCCATCAACACATTGATTTTAGGATCTCCTCCTCTCCAAGAAAATTTCCAAAATGATCTCCCTCCACTAAATGACTGGCTCCCTTGGTTATCCCTAGCAAAAGAGGTTTATCCCATGGTTAATGGGGAATAAATGACCTCTTACCCCATTGGGAACATCCCAGGTGACCAAAGGTACAAAAAATGACCTACGACCGCTTTGCGACAATTTCTAGAAGTCAGATGATGTCTCGTCAGAAAAATAGGACCGCGACGTGGCTACGTCATGGTTACAACATGATAATACTACCTTATAGGCATTGTGAACAGGCTAGTGGTGCGACCACTCCTGTCGCATAATTACACCACCCGCTCGCTCTGGTTAGCGTGGCTACACTGGCCTCAGGGAGCGGTCAACAAATATGAGAAGACCTAGCATGGCCACGCGGCCCACGCCAAATTTAGGCATGTTCACGCCGGCACTAGTTGGACCAAGCCTCATGTTCGAGTGGTCTTACGCTACATTCGAACCCGAGAAAGCTCACCCTAACTAAAAGGAACGTTCTGGACTCATTCACGCTATCGACTTTGCAAACTGGGGTCATACGAACGATGTTTTGCCAACGAGTACACGACCCGATTTGTTTGTACCGCGCTGAGCGAAATTCGTCGGTCCGATCGAAGCCGTCCGACATAAGTAATGCCGACTGGCCTTCGCTTTAGTGAAAGCCATACCCCAACAAAGCACTTTTGACCGCATGCCGGAGGATCAAAATCGAATGTCTTGAGCTCTGGGAGGTTGTGCATGCGTGCATCATACTCCCTAGTAATTCAAGCGGGCACCCAACACTCCTAACATCAAAAGATGTTGCCAGCAATTCCATCACTTTTATGACGTAAATCCGGATTTAGTATATCCATTTGTGAGGCAGAATTATTCCATCATCGCTCGTGATCTCTTCAGTCACAGACCAAATTTGATTACTTTGAATTTCTCAAATTTGATAAATCCTATTTGACATAAATCTAAAATGCAACCAAACACGGCCTAAAAACAACTACAACAACATCATTGAAAACACAAGTTGTGGTTATAAATTTGAATTGGCAAGTTTAGAGTCTCTGTGTTAAATGCACAAATCATTAGAAAAATAAATATTAGATTTTTCAATATTATATTTCAACAAAACATTAATGAAAATTAAATGAGATTTTAATCTTTATCATCATAGAAAAATATGATTCTACTTCCAATACATATACAATTCAATTCAATTCTCACATATTTATATATATAGCATTTAAATTTTTAACATCACATAAAAAAAATATCATAAGCTTTAAGACCCCTAAATACTATATATATAAACATTAGAATTTGGGTTTTAAGTATATAAATGCATAAGATTTATGCATTCCACCCATTTGTATGTATTAAAATATCTAACACTTAAATTTTACTTTTTTACATTTATACCACCAAAGTGTTTCACTTCACATAAAAATTATCATTATTTTATGATGGCTAATATGTAAAATTGAAGTTTAGGATAGATATGTAAATACATAATAATTGACTTGATATGAATGTAAGTATTTGATTAAATATTAATCGTATAATTCTTGTTATAAGTAGGGTTGTTAACGATCCGACTCATGTTGGGCTTTGGTCGGCTGAAAATTAGCTCAAATAGATTGAGTGTGGCTCAGAATCGACTTGTGACTCGTAGTATTCGATTTCAAGCCAACTCTGCTTGAAATTGTATCGAGCTCGATCTAATTCAAAATTGAAATGAGCTGGGTTATTTGGATCCGTTTCAAATCAAAATAGTTTTATGACTCATTATATTAAATTTTATTCAGTATTATATATATAATTTTTATAAATAATAGATATTTCGAGCAAATCTCAAAATAATTAAAATTTTTGCTTCTACAAATGAAAATCAATTTGAAAAAAATAGGATACTAAGTGGCTCATAAATCCAATTTAGAATTATTTATAATCTTTTAAAAAAAAATATTCCATTCCGATGTACAGACGATTAACCGCCATAATATTTTTGAGAAATATTTGTGTGCGAAAAATGCACGTAGAGTTACGAACATTTTAGGCTATTCGGAGGGTACAACTAGATTATACAATAAGTTATACCTCTTATAATTTTTTTTAAACTTAAATATAACATAACTGTATTATCCAAATAACTTAAAATGTATGCAACTCTGCTTATATTTTAAGTACAAATACCTCTTATAATTTTTTTTAAACTTAAATATAACCTAACTGTATTCTCCAAATAACCTAAAATATATACATCTGCTTATATTTTAAATACAAAAATATTTTCTCATACTCTTTCAGATAAATTAACATCGCTAACTACAAAACTGCTTTTTGCAGCGCCCCGCAGAATGCGACAAAGCTGCTTTTTGTTTTTTTAAACATTGTTTCCTAAAAGTTGAAGCAGCAGTTTTCTTTAAAAAAATTTCGCCTCAGATGAAAATCGATTTCTTGATTCCCACAACGCCTGTCCGGCTCCAAACCTCCGCGATTTCGCTCTGCTGCGGAGAGCTACTCCCGGTGCCGGCGGCCGCAGCCCGATCTCCGGCGAACAACAGCTTCCGCCTCCATCTCGAATTGCTTCCCGCGATTTTCGGCGTCTGCAGAACTGCGATCCCGCTTTGAACCGATCAAAACCGCCGGCGAAGGCTTCTGTATCAAGCCTTCTCTGTGGGAAATCAAGCACACACCGTCTCTCTTGACTGCTAGATCGGCCAGAAACAGTTCAGACAGCACGCGCTTGTTTGATTCGGTCTTCAAGGTTTCTTCATCTTATTCTTGTTTGCTTCTGGTTAGTTTTTTTTTTTTTTGTTTTTGTTTTGTTTTGTTAGCACACCTCATTGAATCCGTCTCTGTGAAGTTTAGCCGATCCATTTCATTTTCTTGATAACCTGGTTGCGTGATTTTTCTTTTGAGATTTTTAAAAAAAAAATTGGAAAAGACCATGGTTGTACATATCAAAATGTGACGCATTCTTCGAATTCTGGTAAGAGTTGCGCTTATATTTTAACCAAGCAAAATCTTGAATTTAATGAAGCATGTAAAGAGTTTTCATTTGATTTTCCCTTTGTTCTTGTTGATGATGTTGGTGGTGGAAGCGAAAGTGTGGTAAGGGTGGTTGGAAAAGCTAGGGATGATTGAAAACGGTGAGGGGAAGGCCTGGATGGCAGGTAGGTTGCGATGGAGAGTCATAGTGGTGTCTGGAACGGCTGCGGCAGCGAGGGAGGCGAATTCTGGAACGTGGCAGTAGAGGAGACTGCAGAAAATCAACAATGAGAGCTGTTTGGAGGCGGCTGCAGAAATGGAGGGCGTCTAGGAGTGAGGTGGGGAAAATGTGGAAGGGGATCAGGAAGATAACCATCATCTTGGGAGAGAGATACAGTGGGAACACCATCTAAACTCTCTGATATTGTCCTAGAAGGGACTACACGGATGACGGTGGCTGTCTTAAAAAAACTCATGCCAAAAAACTCTAATTTAAACCCTAATACAACACATATTAGGAAACAATAAGAAATGAATGAAAGGAAAGGAAGAAACTCATTAAAAATTAGAAAGAAATTGTCAAAGGGCCGCTCTACTTAGCTTTATGTTGTTCTCGTGAACCGGCGCACGTGTTCGATTCGGCTCTTGTAGTAGTACTGTAGTAGGGATCGCAAAAACGAGGCTTTTGGTAACTACCGCATTAGTCTTCCGGGGTTGGTGAGCTTCAACCTCATATTTCGAAGCTTATCTTTCTTCATATTAGTTAAGTCAGCCCCATTAAAGGTAGCAATAATCTTGCAAGCTCTAGGTAAGTCAATCATGCAAGCATTATCATTCCTAAGTGCATTCTGATAGAATACATATTCATCCACCTTTGGCACTACTTAAGTTGGAGCTTCATATCTCAATATATTCCACAAGTCAAATCTCAAGCAAGTAAATCTATAATCTGCTTCTCCCACTGCTCGTTCTTGACTAGATGCATCTGATAAACAAGTATGTTAGAAAGAATCAACTCTAGGATGAAATCTAAGGTTGGTTGGATCACATTAAAGTATATTCACTCAGGAGGGACATCTTTTTCTTTGGTAGGACCTAGATCCTATTGTAGAAATTTCTTCTCTACCAAGCTCTTAAGATAATTTCTAAAGTTGTGTTTCATATCTCATGTATGACGATTTATTAGTGGGTGCACTGTTGAATTGAATCTAATACCCAAATAACTCTATATAATCTTCTATAAGTGTCATAAAAGTGCCTCACCTTTGACATGTTGTCCTCCTTCAGTAGAGGGAACTCAGGAGGGTGTCTATATATCTTACAAGTTTGAGTTTCTCTTATCTGAGATTAACATGCCTTTGGTGTTGATTCGTCGAGCTCAAGACTTTCTAGGACAAGCATGATTAATTCGGTTGGAGTCTCTCTCATGGGCTTGGCTGGAACTACGTGCCTCTTTCCC